TCCTCTCTAGTGTGGTAGACCCCTGCTTCTATGGATCTGGTGTTTAGTGCCTATATATATTTGATCTATCTCTTTGGTCAACTTGAGATAGACCAAATACACACACACACACGCATATATACACACACACACACACACAGTCATACAATCCTCACTAAGTTCAGAGGTGCTCAGTCCCATCCAGCTTATGCATTAAAAAAAAAAAATCTTTATTCGATAACTATCCCATATTTTTTCAAGGAGCACAAGGTCCCTTCTTGGAGCCTCCTCTCATTTTATATTTACAATAACCTGACAAGGTATATTGGGCTGGTTACTGTCTCTCAGCCCAAGAATTACCCAGTGAATGGATTAGAGACTTGAACCCAGATCTCTGTGGTCTTAGCCCTGACCCTTAACCATCATACTGGACTGGCCAGGATAGAAGCAGAGGGGGGCCATTTAATTTTAACTGCAACTGTATTTCGTGAATGCTCCTTTGTCATGCAAACTTTGCCTTGGCCTGTTACACTGAGGGTTCCTTCTGCTTTGTGAAAAAGATTTTTTTCTCCCTGCTCATCTGGAATGTTCCCTCTCTGTCCAGGGCATCAGGAAGTGAAATGAAACGAGGAAGCTCACATCATCTCTGCATCAGGAGACAAATATCGAGCACTGGCTGCACAGTTATTGATTCAGAGCTAAGCCTCGCTCTCTCCCCCTCTCTCCCGAGTAAGCAGTTACGTCTTTCTGGTTCATTGCATTTAATCGGATTCCTACAGCTGCAGAGCAGAGGCAGAGAATTAGGAGTTGCTTTTTTTTTTTTTTTTTAGTCTCTTAATCATGTTTACTTCAAAATCCAACTCGGTCTCTCCTTCCCCCTCCATGGATCCTGCAGATCTGGACGCCTTAGATATCCGCACCAAAGTGCAGCTGTATGGAGTACTCTGGAAGAGACCGTTCGGGAGACCGTCAGCCAAATGGTCCAGGAGGTAAGGCAGAAGGTGTCTGGGTAGAGCTGCAGAGCCAAAAGGGGAAGGGAGAAGAGAAGAGAAGAGAAGAGAAGAGAAGAGAAGGTGATAATAGAGTTCATAATGGGAAGGGAAAGCCAGAAAATTTGGGATAGCATTCAAACCAGGGTTCAAGATAGGCAGGATCTTAAAATGTCCAGACAGATGGGTTCCAAAATAGAAAATCCAGAAAGGGTGCTGTGTTCAAGTGTAGGATAAAAATCATCATCATCATTATGTACTGAATTTATACATTAATCATCTGGGCAACCACAATTTCTGTGTTGTGGGTCCATTTTGTAGATTGGCACAATCTCTCTGCCTGCAATTCTCTGTACTCCTCAGAGAAGAGGCATAGCTGACCTGGTATTAGACCAACTGTATATAAGAGACCGTGAAAACTCATGTAACATTTCCATTCGTGTGCCATGTATTTTTAACAGAATGTAGGGCTAAGCTGAGATCACCCACTTCTAGGGAAAGTTTAGCCAAGAAGTAAAGGGGTTATTGTTTCACCTGTTTTTTTTTTTTTTTTTTGCTGAATGTTGTGTGAACTTAGTTCCAAAGTGCTTTTTTGAGAATACTGGCTGCCCGACCTGAAGACATGACACGGTGCCAACACAACACGGAGGAGTCAAACTGTTCATGATATCACATGATATCACAATCTAATCCTACGCACATATTTATCTTGCGCTCATTCTCAGAATTGCTGCACAAATAGGGAATGTTTCTCAGTCACAAAACATTATGGGTTGAGTGCTAAGAACTAAGTGCCACCCCATAATAAAGATCCCATTCCTAATTATACTGATTTTTGAATTAACAGCCATGTTGGTAATCAGGAGTGACTATTCTGTTGCCAGAAACATTTAATGTACAAGGTTTCTTTTTAATCTTTCAGCTACATTGACCATTCCTTCTAGCAAAATCTGCCTCTCTGCATTCTTCATCTTGAATGCTATGTGCATATTTTACACCTGTAGTTAATATATAACCCAGCTCAACATGAAAGCAGAGTGGATAAATATAACAAGAAACTTGGATCAAGGATTGCTGTGAAGGAAATTCTGCTTGCAGGATTCTTCCATTGAAGCAAAGATGGGAGATAATTTTTGCTGATCCTTCCTCCCTCCTTTTCTCCTTTTGCCTCATCATTCCAGCACAGCATAGAGGAGCTGCAGAGAGGAAAACATTGTAGAAGTAGTTTCCCCCTGCTCTTCCCCTGTGAAGAACTTCTAAAATGCTATTCCTTGGGTATGGCACACTCAGTGAATTTATCTGTTCGTAAAATGAAGGTCTGGATCAATCCTTTTAATTAAAATATGCATTTCATTGCTAGTTTGCCAGAGCAAAGAAAGAGGAGGTGAGGCAGAGATACCACTCAACCTGGATTTCTTCTCTCCACCCACCAATGTGTGTGTGTGAACTCATGGAGAAGATATTTCAGCCTGTATCCATAGAAATCAGTGGGCCTTCTACAGCTAAGTAGAGACAAGAATTAATGGCATAACCCTTCTGAAGCAGAGGAGGTGTTGATTTGAAAGTTGCAAGACTTGGCAAGCTGTACAGAATCAAACAGAATTGATTCCTGAATAAATAAGGATAGTGGTGGTTCTTTAAAATGTTTTTCAACCACAGTATTAGGGCATTGTGCAGAATAGCACCTCGACCCACTGGCTCCATATGTCTAAAACACAGTAAAAATGCAAGTCATAGAACAATTTGCAAGGTGAGCAGGTGGCCAAAAAAAGCAATGAGGAGCTGTCATCTTCTCAGAGAACTGAATCTTCTCTGGCACTGCTGAGCTGGGGCTCCTCCTTCTTAGAGAACTAAATGCCCTGTAAGGAAAGCAGGACCCTCTGTCTGGCAGCAAGATGGCTGTCATCTGTGCTCCCCCAGGCCACCTATTTCCAGCCAGCCAGCCCAAACAGAGATGCTGAAATATCCTCTTTTCTTTCCTTCAATTCCAGTCACACTTCTGTGGAAAGTAAGTCCAACAGGTACTCACTGCAGCAGAGGAAACTCTCATTCTCTGTTGTTAACCTATAATGAACAGAAGGGACTTTTAAAAAGAGACCTCTGGTATCATGTTAGCACAATATATAAAAAGTTGGCTAGAATTTCCATTTTAGTTGTGTTTTCAGCTAACAGATGCATGTAGACATGAAATGTAAACAACAGTACTTACACGTGATTTAAGGAATTATTCCCTCAAGGACAGTGTGCTGGTGCAGAAAGGGTTACTGTCAGGGGATGTATGGTTATTGCCATCTTTCCTTTTGTTCCACAAATTTACCACAGTTTAAGGGTTACTAACTTGTAATGAGACGTAAGAAACAATAGCCAAGATATTTCAATTTTGCAAGGAAACTTCCTTGCACAGGGATAACTGTTCCTATTAACTTGAAGAATAGCAAGCGCAGAGCCAGTCTGGATGGGATCCAGAGAAATGCACCACTCCTTTGTTCTCCATGGCAGAATCCCCACCTGGATTTTGTCCCCGTGCTGGCCACTCACTTGGATGAAAGCCTCTGTGTTAGGGACACCTAGGTGGCAAACCTATTAGGGCTTAAGCTGCCCCTAGATTGGCATCAAAGTCATGTAACAGAAACAAACCCCGTGCCATGCCATTTATTTGAAAAAAGTTTTTTTTTTCCTGCATGTGGAGTGATTTCAATTTAAGTAAATATGAAAGGGAGGATTAAACATTTTGCCTATACGTGATTTTGATTCAAACCCCTCCCCCCAAAAAACATATGCTGCAGATAACCAGGAGCAAAATATTAAAACCTCCTACCCCACATGTCAGGGTCCTGATCTAGATGTTCCCCCCACCACCATTCTCTTTAACCTGCAACACTAAAACTTATTTTGTAATGCATTTCCATGTAGTTCGGCTTTTGTTGTCTACTAGTTCCCAAGAACTGGAAGGTAAATAATATCTAACTGCCAAATGGATTTTGAGGCATTTAGAGAAAACAGTCTGCGTATAAGCATTGAACTAGCCTTTATGAAACTTCACTGAAACCTTGACAAAGGTCACTGGAAGAAGCAGATCTCCCCATGGACAAAACTACTAATACTTACATACATAATTTAAGAATGTGATACAATATTAGAATATGAAGAATATCTGACCTTAGAAATGGCATTAAAAGAATCATAGGAACCTCTCTTACATTGAATTAGACTATTAGCTCATCTACATTCATACGGTTGGAAGTGGGCAACCTGGTACACTCCAGAGGCTTTGGACTTCAATTCTCATCATCGCAGTGAACATGGGCAACAGCAAGGGATTATGAGATTTGTAATCTAAAACATCTGGAAGACACCTGGTTAGCTATCTCTGGTCCACTCACTGTTTCAGACAGGACTCTTTCCTAACCCATTCTGCAGAAGCCCTAACTGAAATGTGTTCTGCTACAGACAAACAGTCCTTTCTCTAAAAATAGGCACATTCTTTTCTCAGATGTTGAATGAACTCAGGTCCTCTCACACCCTAAGAATAATGCCTCTAGACCAGTGTTTCTCAACTTTGACAGCTTGAAGATGTGTGGACTTCAACTCCCAGAATTCCCCAGCCAGCAATATTGCTTCATATTTTGAAATGAAAGATCCAAGTGCAGGTTATACACAATACAAATTGGTTAAATAAGTTGAAACGGCTCCATTTTTAACTATAGAGTGATGAAACTAGGATGCCTTAAAATGTCTTATTAAATAATGGTTAGATTCACAGCTGTGTAAAGCAGAACTCTTTCAATTAGATGTTTGGGATGGGAGGACAAATTTTGTGAATTCCCTACATTCCTCCACCTTCATAAAAATCTCTTTCAAAAGACTGGTTGGTCCTTTGGGACAGTGAGGGAGATGACATGGTCAGGGAAAAGGGAATTTGCAAACTCGCTCTCTATCCTCTTTCCTGTTTAGCCTGTGGAGAATCCTGTTCACAGAGTAGAGGCTTCCATCATGACTCCCTTCTACATAGCACCATACAATCAGAAGGGGCCATTTAGGGCACCAAGTCCAACTACTTTCTCAGTGCCAAAATCCAAATTAAGGCATCATCCCTGATGGAGGACTGATAACTTCTGCTTGAACACACCCACCCCATGCTTGGATAGTTGGGTCCACTGCCAAAGTTTTCCAACATTCAGTTGCAATCTGCCTTCCCAGTAACTTAAATCCATTTTTCTATGTCCTGCACCCTGAAATAAAAGAGAACAGATCTTGACCAATTTTTGCAACTTTTTTTCAGGGTTTGGAAGAACATTATCATATCTTCCAGTCTTCTCTTCTCCAAGCTAAACATTCTTAGCTCCTTCAGTCTCTCCTGACACAATTGAGTTTCTAGTCTCCTGAACAACTTTGTTGCCTTTCTCTGAATCTATTGCATTAAGTTTTTCTTAAAGCCTGGCACCAAGAACTGGACAGAATATGTGTAGTGGAGTCTGACCAACAGAAAATGAAGCGGAACTATTATTTCCTGTGATTTGGACACTATGCTTCTGTTGATGCAACTAAAAGTGGGGTAGAGTTTTTGGACCCATGTCATACTTCTGATTCATATTTAGTTTGCAAACAGCTACTATTCCAAGATCTTTTTTACAATTACTATTATCAAGCTAGATACCCTGCATCCTTCATTTGATTTTTATCTCTTTAGACAACTTTGCTTTTACCTCTGTTAAATGTTGTTCTATTATTCTCAACCCATTTCTCCAACCTATTCAGATTGTTTTTAATTTTATTTCATATTCCCAAATGTAGTTTTCTCATTTTGCATCATCTGGAAATCTGATAAGCATGGAAAATTGAGATTTTTTTTTCAATGAGAAAATAATAGCCTCACTGGAGAGTGCAGTGGTAAACTCCTAAGACCTTCTAACGCTGGAGAAGACAAATTTTATCGTCATGCATTGCCATAAGCCAGTCCAAGATCAAGAATCCCAAAATGCTCATACATATATGTGAAGGAGTGTAGAACTGATCTTGGGAATAGGGAAGGAATGAGTAAGTAGTTAAGGGTGGACTTTGAGGAAAGAGTCAGTCCTGGGAGAGAGGAAAACTTGAGAAAGATAATCTCACCTTGATTTTGGTTAATGTAAAATGGGGCAGAGAGAAAAACTTGGACAGACTTTCAAGACTTTTATTCTTCCTTACTACAATAAAGAGCATTTCTGGAATCCCGCCATGCCTGTTTTTTGACCTGGACTTCCTCAAAGGGCTGACAATATATCATGTTACTGATCATTAACATTTCTTCTCTTGTATAACCTACACTAAAATTGACAGGAATTTTATCTCACTAATAGAAAAACGTTTCCTGTTTCTCAAAGTGTTGGATTCCACCATATTTCTAAGATCACTGAATATAAACCTTCAACTTCTATTTGGAAGCTAGGCATCAAAAGATGCTTAGAATCACCCACACTGAAGGATTTTTCCTCCCCAAGTTAAATACCTCTCTTTTTCATTAATAGGCAGCTCATTTCCCCATGCTTTTGTTGCCAAAACGTGTAACAGAAAAGCTTGCTATCCTAGCCTCCCAGTTGGAACATTTCAAATATGGAGAGTCCTGGAGACTTTCTTGTTCCATTTCTACCAGAATATATCCCCCAAAGGATGACAATAATTCCTGTTTCAATTACATGCAGTACTTAGTATCTGGAGGTTTTAGAACAGTACAAAAGAGAAAAAAAAAGGGTTGCGTATAGATCTTAGACCCAAGAATGATGTTAAAAATCTTCTGAGAGTACTTAATTGGGTTCTTTTATGTTTTCAAAGATTTTTATAAATATTAGCTAACTAATCTCATTAACTGCATATATTAGAAACCATAGAAGCATTTATCTGCAGAAAACAGACTTTCTGAGGGTTGATCACAGAATGTATATATTTTTCTCAACTATGCCAGATGTACGCGTAACTCATTTTGTAACAAACAGCTCACAGTTCACTCTTGATTTTATAGTGGAACGCCCACCTATACTCGCAAATTGCAAAATTCTGGATGGGAACAAAGAGATCTAGAAAACTCTTTGCTGCCATCTAATGGTTGTCCAGATTTTTTTGCAGCCCAGATATAGCAGCCCTAGTAGCAAATGTAATTATCCAAATACAGAAACACAAATTTCTGATTTGTGGTCTGGGAATCACTGATGGACTGCAAAGGCACTGCAGGTGATCCCTCGTGTGGATAACAAAAATCCCCCTCCCTCTCCCCCTTATATACACATATACACACACTCACAATGATTGACATCTCTAGAGATGGCCAATCTTGTGAGTTTGGGGCCTTCTCATTCAAAATCTTAGAAGATTTCAGGCAGGAACACCATAGTCTTTTCTGATTTGGCATTTGGGCAAAATTTTGTCCATTTAGCTTTTCTTACAAAATGTTGAAGCCTTGCATACAGAGTCATTTAGAGTCAGGGAGTGGCTAAATTAAATTAATCTGAAGGAGATGTGTGTGCTATGATGCTTGCAGGTGCTATAGTGCTGATCCCAGATTTATGGGGTGGTCCCATAAAGAGATGATCTAAGGGTCTACATATAGGAAAAAGTTGGCAAGGGCTGCTCTAGAAGCAATGGAAGTGTTAGGAATGACATCTAGTATCAACTATGGTTTCTGTCCATGAATACATAAAGCAGGTTATTTCGGTCCAGGAACAGGTATAGGTGGTGGTCCAAGTAAAGCTGTCCCAAAACATTCCAGGATACTGAAACTAGTTGAACTATAAAGAGAAGGATGAATCTAGGAGAACATTCAAGTGCTGTGCCTGTTATTTCAGGAAGAAAGCACCTCCCCCGCAGGTCACCCAATTTCCAGATTTGTGAATACTCAGTCCACAGAGTTTCTGACTCTCAAGATAACCCTTCTGTAAATTTACTGCTTCAAACATAATTTATTTTCCATTTATTTTAAAATTTGCATGTATTCTGATTTTAATGTACCTCTATTACAGAGCTGATGTTTTGTCTTTGAGATATGGGTGGTAAAGTAATTGATGCTTAGCCACGCCATTGTTGATATAAATATTTCTTGGCTGAATTATGAGGAAGTAAAAAAAAAAAAAATTCAGGAATTTACAAGAATGTAAGTTGAGAGGTGCCTTTGTTCTGTTTAGACAGAAAATGTTTTCTCTTTGCTAAGACTGAGAATTGGAACTGCTCTGAAATATGTCTGTAACTCAAGACAAACACATCCCTCATCTTAAGCTCCTTTTGTGAAAGACATTTTGAGTCTGGATAATTATATTTTGCTTTAGTCTTCCATTCCAAAGGCAACGCCAGTGGATTCTAAGATTTATTTTGACATATTTCATTAGCATTCTTATCCTTGGGAATCTAAAGCATATTTAAAAAAACAAAAAAAAATCTTCTAGAGCTCATTACTGTATTCATTTGGTACATTATGTACAATATATCTTCGGTGAATATTGTTTGTACATGTATAATGGCTCGGGTGAATCATTACACAGAGAAGTTCAAGAGAGTATATTTATATATACTCCCTTAGATGTAACTACTAGGCTGAATTTGATAATGTGAAGAATCTTTTCATGTACCACCATTACACAACCTTGATATGTTTTAGGGTTTGTTTTTTTAAAATCACCTCTTCACAGTGACTTTCCCAAGCCACTAACTCTCCCAAAATGGGTAGTCCTCACTTAGCAACCATAATTGGGACCAGCAACTCTGTCACCAAGTGCCGCAGTCACTAAGCAAAACATCACATGACTGCGATTTACGATTTTACTTCCGCCTTCTCTATTATCTCTGCTTGTTGCAAGCCAGTGCGAAACACATAAATGGCAATCACATGACCACAGGATGCTACAATGGTCATAAATGCAAGAATTGGTCGCAGATCTTTTTTTTTTACACTGTCGTAACTTCGAACAGTTGTTAAACAAAGCAGCCAATAAATGAAGAGTACCTGTATTCCTTTTTAATTGTTTTTATTCTAGAAGGAATTCAAAATTATAGTTAACTGCTTCCAAACTTAGTGCTATAGAAGGGTTTTTTTTTACAAATAAATAAATATTTAAAAGTACCACATTCAGTTATTTTTAAGATTCAGTGTATGATAGTAGCAGACATATATGATTTTTATGGGACTTTGGCATGTATGTAGCAATACTTAGATTTGAAAAACTAACTACTGAAAAGGTAATTTCAACTATCTTCTTTTAGGCTTAAAAATGTAAATCTATGGGCTGGAATCACTGAGATGCAAAATAGGATGTGCAGGGAACTCAGTAAAAGGCAAGTTTTCCCAAAGTGATGCTAGTAGATTAGCAAAAGATGTCATAAGAAAATGGCTAGAGCTGCTGAAAGTCCAATTCATACATGTTCCAGTACATCAGCACTTTCTACTACATCGTGGACCCATGGCATCCATCAGGGTTCAAATGACTACCTGATACCACTGCCTGTTGGGGAATTAAAATTTTACATAAAGATGAGATGTTTCTTTTTCAGATTCTTTATCATCAAGGAAAGTTTTCTGCTTTACTATGCTGAAAATGAAAAGAAGAACTTTGAAAATAATCGGTACTTCAATATCCATCCAAAGGTGAGCAACATCTCCAAAAACATTCAGATAGGGTCTCATGAGAAGGGGGTCTAGAAATGACTGGATCTTTGCTTCACAAAAGGTATTTGTGTACTTGAAATGAACTTTAATAAAAATTAAATGAATTTACACTGTGAATTTAATATTACCTGGATAATAAACAATCAATTATAGCATGCATTTTTAATGCTGTCTGCAGGAACCCCACTGTTGATCCTGCTCAGTGATGGTCCTCCTTCTGTGGAACAGCTATCCCCTTGAGATCCAGACCACCCTTTCCTTGTTGGGTTTCCAAAGACCCTTAAAGTTGTGGCTGTTCAGGAAAACATTTGGGGACAATGAGGATTGTGTGGGGCCATTTGGAGAGATTGTTTTGATTGAGTTGATTCTATTTTAATGATATTTGTTGCTTGAGATAAGCAGCTCAGAGCCATTAGGAACTGAGCAGCATATAATCTAGGTTCAGCAAGTAAATAAATACAGGTGGTCCTCAGTTAACGACCATTTGTTCAGTGACCGTTCAAAGTTACGATGGTGCTGAACAAGGAGACTTACAGCCAGTCCTTGAAGCTGCAGCCATCGCAGCATCCCCACGGTCACATGCTCACAATTTGGGCACTTGGCAACTGGCTCACAATTACGATGGTTGCAGCATCCTGTGGTCACATGATCACCATCTGCGACCTTCACAGCCAACTTCTGACAAGCAAAGATAATGGGGAAGCTGGCAGGAGGCCACAAATGATGATCACATGACTTTACGCTTAACATTTGCATGGGATTTGCTTAACAACTGCAACTGGAACTGCTGGAATTACCATTGTAAGTCAGTGCAGTCATGTGACATCACACTTTATGACCACGTCACTTAGCAACAGAGTTCCAATTACCGTCATTAACCAAGGACTGCCCATAAGTAAATAAAGCTTCTCCAGTTTAAACTGCTTATTCATGAAGTTTTACTCATTTTCTGATCACCATGAACATTATCTCAGAAACAGAAGACACCTGTGGGGCTATGTATCAGGGTAGACTGGCTTCAGGCTTCTGACGTTCACTTTGTTTTTATTCAGAAACTCATTTGTAAAATAATAATTTGTGGAGGTTGTTATGCCTTTAGAATAAAAGGTGCCACTGAGCATAGACCCAGCCTGGGAGCAAAGTATGCAGTTCTCTGGATGTGCTTCTGTTACTGCCCAAGCTTTCTTCTTTTCAGCAGCTTCATTTAGAAAACAGACATCTGTGTATTTTCTCTCTCTATGGTTAATTGGAGGTCAGAAGTCCTTTTTCATCTACATCTTGTAACTTAGAGCTTTACCAGCTGATCTTGATCTGCGCTCTACTCATTTATATACATTTTTATAGTTTGTGGTTTAATAGACTTGTTTAATAAAACAATTTTAACAACTGGCAATTTAGTAAAAACACCAGTACAAAATATACATGTTTATATTTTTATATGAAATATCAACATCACAGCAGTTTGGCTTTAGACTTGAAAGACTCCTTTTCCTCCAGTGGAGTTGGGGATGTGTAACATGATTTTCACCAATTCCACTTTCTCCTATAGTTTGTTTGTTTGTTTGATTGTTTATTCTAAGAGAAAAAGGACACTCATTTGAGGACAATAATGTTCACATTTTGGAACATAATAGGTGGTTTGAGAAGATAGGTGGTTTGAGAGAGGAGTGAAGGAATCCATTTATGCCAA